GTCCTCGCTCCACGACGTCGCGTATCTGGGATGCTCCAAATGCGCGTTCCTCTCGTTCTTCTGCTGCTCGTCGTAGATGTCTCGGCTGAACTTCAGAAACTCTATCTTTTGCTTCTCTCGCTCTCGTCTGCGCTGCTGCCGATATCTGTTGTCCTTACTCGCGTCGTTCAGCGTGTTGATCGATGACCACAGCGTACATGGCGGGGAAATCCAAACTTCCTCTGGCCTCTCACGTCGTAGTCTTTCAAAGAACGCTTCGCGATGTGACTTCCTCGTAAAATCCCAGCCAGTGTCCAACGTATACTTGTCCGTCTTGAAGTCGCCATGCTGCTCGACATACTGTGAAATACGTCCCTTATTGACAAAGATCTCCCAAAACTTGCGTTTAACTTTAGGTTTCTCGTCGAGCGTCCTGTTAACCTTCGTAAACCAGTCCTTCAGCTGCTTGGCGTCGAAGTTCGTCGTCTCCGCGTCCTCCTTCTCCTCGCCATGCGTGCTGGTCACGTAGAAGTCTATCTCCTCTTCGCTCTTGACCTCGTGATCTCCGTCCGTGTCGGCGTCCGTCGAGCTAGACTCCTCTTTGATCTCCAGCGCGTCTTCCGGGAAACTCAAAAGGTCCAGGATCATGTGGCCTTTCTCGTTTGTCTCGATGTCGCTCCATGTCTGGGGTACTTCGTCCAGGTACATCGCCTTCTTGTTGCGGTAGTCCACCACGATGCCCCATTCTTCGAGACACGGCCGAGCCACCAAAAGAGAAACTTTGCCCGGCACCAGGTAGACCGTGATCTCGCGCTTCGTCTTGCGAACCCAGACTGGGAACGTAACCATCTGCTTTGCCGTCGCTGTAGCGTCGTTGCCGAACCGGAATGTCTTCTGGCACCGCTGCGTCGTGATCTGGTCGGCCATGCCCATGTCCGTCAGCTTCTTGCGCCACTTCGGCCATTCGTCGAGTCTCATGACTGGCTTCGTAGCTCCACTGTCGCCAACTCCTTTGCCCGTAGCCAAACTCACTTCTTCGAGTTGTAATCCGTGCGCCGTCTCCATGCTTGGAGCGATCTCCGTGAACTTATTGTCCGTGCCGATCTCGTACAGCATCTTCGCGTCCTCGTCGTGCTTGGTGGGTGCTCCATCTCGTCGCCGCTTGAACCTTGGTCCGTGTTGCTGCGTGGATCCCGTCTGCGTCGTCTTCGGGCTGCCGTCGAAATGCTTGCCGCCCTTGCCACCGCCGAAGGGTGCTCGTCCACCGTATCGTCCTTTCTGCTTGCCCTTCTGCGCACCTCTCGCTTTGCCACTGCTGCTGCGTCCTCTTCCTTTTGGCGGCCTGGCATTTCCAGCTCTTGGGGGGGGTAGTCCACGCTTCTCGTCGATCAGCGCCACCACGGGGTAGAACCCTCGGGACTTCGCCAATTCGTTCATCTTAGCTCGCGCCTCCGCATACGCTGCGTAGGCCTCCTCGGTAGCCTCGTAGGCGTTCTCGAGATCCTCCGGCACTTCCTCGTCTTCCTCGTACCACTCGTCATCTTCTTGGTATTCCTCGTGCGGGTCGTACTCGTCCTCATAGTAAGCCTCATCATCTTCTTCATAGTAGTCTTCCATCCAGTAGCCTTCCTCTCGACTGACTCGTCCGTGATAAGTACTCCTCACGCGATCGATGTCCTTCTTGTGCGCCACGCTATCGCCTCCGAACATCGTCTTCAGACTCTCCGTGACCACCTGCACCGTCAACCTGTTGTTGCACAGCGCCTTGAGGTTTGGTACTTGCCACTGGGGAATCGCCGCCCGCGTCATCATATGCCATCCTGCCAGTAGATCTGGCAGCTCAAGTCCAGCTTCGCGCAGCTTCGTCAGCTCCTTGCCGTGCCTGAGCACATACGCGTTGAGCGTCTCCTTCGGCTGCCGCGCGAACTCTCCGAAGAATCCGTCGCATCTTCCTGGCAACTCAACCTCCTGAGTGTACCTGTACAGCACGTCCAACTTCTCAAAAATCTCGTCGAATGCCTCTGCGGTGTCCATCCTCTCGAAACTTATCTCGTCGCAGGCGTCCCACGCGTCGCCCTGCAGGCTCTGCAGGAGCAGGTAGGCGCCCTCACTCACCACTGGCGCGCCTCGGCGCGCACACAACCTCTGGAACACCGTCGCTCTCCGTCGAAAGTTCCTGTACGTTGCGTGGCTGAGGTCCGTCGCATCCGGGCAGCACTTCGCCAAGCCCGCGTCCATCTGTGGTGGCCGATCACCCTGTCGTCCTCGACCACCTCCGAGGAGCTCGCTCTCGTCGTCTGGTACTTCTTGCTCCTCGGCTCCACGACGTTCCTCCTGCTGGCCTCGTCCTCGTCCAGCGTCGCCACCGCCACGCCCTTCACCTTGTCCGCGTCCCGGTCCTGGTTGACCGTTGGGCCGCATCTCTCGACTCTATTGGGCGAGAATCAAGAGCGGACTTTATCGGTTGGGCCGTGGACCTGGAGCCGTTCAGCTCCGCTACCAATGTCGGTAGCACTCAACA